TGACTGCAGTATTGGCAGAGCTGTCTTATTAGTTTAAAATTATATTATATAAAGTTATTATATTATAATATATATTTTAATATTATTATTATGAGGCTGTCTGATTTATAGCTTTACAGTAGTTCATTTATTTATTTTTGTCACCTGCAAGTTACAGACCCTCAGATTGTAGCTCGTCAGTATCATTTGTACTGAGCTATGGGTAATGGTGTGGTTACCCATTGCTGCCATTTGCTGGTCGCATGCTGGGAATTCCGATGTGGACACGAGATATTGACAGGAGAACGCAATGGAGAACAGGGGGGAGCAGGAGAACAAATGTATCGGGGATGTCCCTAAATTGAAAGGGGGCAAATAAACAGGCAATATCTAAGCATCTTGCACCTGCTAAACATTAGGGCAGAGGAAGCAGGGGAAAGATGAAGGAGCGAAGGAATTAAGGAGGAAGGAGAAATAGGAAAAACACCACCTGTCACCAGTGTATTTAATTCAATAATGTTTGAATGCAGAATGAAGGCAGTAATGCTCTTTGATACTTGAGGCTTTATCTCTGTGGAAGCTTGTAAAGTATAATAGAAGTACAGTAAAATACTTTGAGATCTGATGAAAATACGCATAAGCATTTAATAATGTAACTGCAATGTTAATAAGCGACAGGTCGGCTGAATTGACAGGACTGCACAACAGCACATATAGTAGCAGGGATGTGTGTTTTATGGATCTAACGTTCATGAAAAATGTAAGAAGTGCATTAAAAATGATGAGGAATGTGATCATAGGAACATCATTTATCTTTCCACTCATGAGCTGTGCTGTTTCTATTCAGCAAGAAAGAATGAGGGAGAAACGAGGACCAAGAGAGGGTGACGGACGGTTCAGCTGCTGCTGCTCAGCACAGTGTTCAGTGCTGTGTGAGGCGAGAGCGCTGTGTAAACTCAGGCTGATGTGAAAGTGGTAAGTGATGGCTGAGGACAAGAGAGAGACAAGAGAACTGTGGAAGCCGCCCGCAGTGTGACAGTTAAGTGTGTGGGCAAGAAATTATTTATGATGTGGGGCCCTAAATTTGTGTCCACAGACAGATTATGGGAACCATGAGATCTTATGAGGAAAGAAGTTCTCGTTATGTGAAATCATTAGATATTGAAGATAAGACAGAGTTTGAGGTAAAGGGAGGTCAGGTTTACTTTTAGTTTATGGAAAATGCAAGTTAGACTTATAGTTAAGGTTAAATTAAATCTTTGGGAAATAAGCCAATGTCATTGGGAGTCAGACATGACCACACATACACACACACAAACAAATGTCACTTCAGCTAAATTAGAAATCCCCAGTGGCTTCTTGGCCAGAATGCAACTCAAAGTGGGGAGCAACTGTCCAGCCTGTTACTTGACCTTTTCTACTCAGCTGAATCATTTTTGATCTTTTCATTTTTATATTTTCTTTTAATATTTTCCTTCTTTTCCAATAGTTTGACAGGTGATTTGAAACAAAAATTCAGGTAATCAAAACATGAAACACACTACTTCGATATTAAGCCCTATATAAATACAATCGTTGCCTACTGTAAAAGAGTAAGACACACGTTACAGAAGAGTCCACTTGTTTCCACAACTCCGACCACTGTACTTTCTGAATTAAATTTATTGTCGGGGACCTTGTACTAAAACTTTAATAAAGCAGCAATATGAGGAGCAGCTTTCAGCAGTTCAGCTCCTCGCTGCAGTACTTTACTCCTGCAGTCCCTCGAGACAACATCACAAATGCTGCAAACTGCAGGAGATACAGATAGTGTGTCCAGCACTCCCACGTTCAAGTTGCATTGTTTTATAAAAACATCTACAGATGTAAAAGTTTGGTCTCAAGGGATTTTCCAAATCCACTGCTCTTACCTGTTTTTTTGTTGTGGGTGTGGAAGGAAAAGCAAGGGGAGGGATTTATGGGTTTTATTAAAACACCAACATTTGGAACAGTACAGAGAAGAACACTAAAGAACATGTTGGACTTGACTTCACATAAAACTACGTTAACAAAGGAATAGAAGAATGCGAAGAGTGTGTGTGTGTGTGTGTGTGTGTGTGTGTGTGTGTGTGTGTGTGTGTGTGTGTGCGACTCCCACATTCTCAACGTCCAGAGTTCAATCCGTATATTCATAAAGTCTGTTTCAGTTTCCTCTACAAGCACAACACAGTTCAGTTTAATCCAGTTCAAACTAAAAAAACAGATGCAACAAAATCCATCCTTTACGGGTTTTACCGTGGATCTTCACAAACCAATAACTCAGAAAAGTAAACAGAAAGGGAAGTGTCCCTGTCGCTTCAATAACAACAGCGTATCCATACAGAATAGGGCACTCATGGTTTTGTCAAGGGTCAAGTTGGTCGGTCAGTCAGGCTTCTGCCAAGGCTGCAGCTTCAGGGAAACTCTGAACCCCGACGTACTTTAATGAAGGGAAAACAGACGATCCTCTCCGACCGAAACATTCAGTGCTCCGAAGCTACTGGTCACTTCTGTGTTGTTTCAGATTACACAGGGCTGTGATTAGACACAATGTCAAGAACAATTACAAAAGTGTTGAAACATGAGGTACATTTACATCTAATGTAGTTGAATGAAAAGGCACAAATCCTCCTGCAGTCGACCTTTAAGCAAAATTCTTGAACAGTGAATAAATGTTATGTCAGTTATTTTACGCACCAAACAGAAATCTGATTCAACATGAAGCCGTCTGATTTCTTTTACTGAATATATAATAAGTCTTTTGTTTACCCTTAGATCATGATTTCTGCCTTCAACCCAATCATTACATTATTTTCATCTTGACTTCAATACTTCAGCAGTTTGACTAATGTCGACACTGTTTCCACTTCAATAAATAAGCATCTACTCGTTCAGTATCTGCCACATAAAGTGCTGTGTCATCTGCGTATGTCAAGATTTCCACATATTTGGAAGATACACACTTAAAAAGCAGAGGCCTTAAAAGGAGCTGTCTAGTATCTTATGGTTCAGGCATTTCACTTCAATATTTATCCAAACTAAACGGGCACAGTCTGTGAAGTATGATTGTATCCACTTGAGAGTAATCATAGACTATTTATATTTGAACTACATAGTTCAAAAGGCTGGCTGACTGATCGTTTCATGCTTTATATATAGAAACTATGCTTCTTTATCCAAATTAAGCTTGGTTTGTCCAAACCTACGCTTTCATGGCTGGCTCTGGCCATTGATGGATGAAAGAAGGGGTCTACTGAGCACAGGCCAGGGGGCCGAAGGTACCAGACTGTATCAGCTACAAAGATGACCACGAAGGGATACAAAACCAAACTCAAAGAGCAACAACTATCAAGAGAAACTATAAAAAGTGACACAGACACAATATGAAATACAAATATTACTTTATCTTATAGCTTTATGCGTCTTACTCTTATGCTGAAAGGTGCTGGAAATGGCTTTTGAATGTCAGTAATCAATCAATCAATCAAATTGTACTTGTAAAGCCCATATTCACAAATCACAATTTGCCTCATAGGGCTCAACAAGGTGCAACATACTCTGTTCCTTAACACCTGACAACAGTAAGGAAAAACTACAAAAAACATGTAATCCATTGTCCGTTGTCTCATAATCCAACACTACATTAAACTTTTCAAGGTCAACAGCTGATAACTCTCGGAAGCACAGATAAAATGCTGCTCATGAGCCCAAGAACAATGTGGTCATGGGTCAGACCTGTTGTGCTGAGAGTTGGGTGGCTGTTGATGTCAGGAGAGTTAAGGTTAATTTATGCTACTTTAGCATATGAAAAGAGATTTGTCCATTTCAAACGATGTAATCATCACTGTGCAGTCTTCCATGTGTTTTTAATGTTGCCATGGTTTTTAAGCAATACTAGAGGGGTGTCTACTAGAGGGTGTGAGAGAGTCAACAACAAACATGTCAGTGGACGAGGTTGGGTCAATGTTCCAGTTAAGAAAGGGTTAACACCGGTGGGCACCGGTGTTAACCTGGGCAGGTGAAGCAACATAAAATTGATGCCTTTAGTTTCTTAACAACTCGCAAAGTCAAAATGTTCCACCATTGTTGAAATTTGTCCTCATGTCCGATTCCCGTCTCACTTGAGCTGCTATCAAACATAAACTGGGGCTGTATGTGGGAACGTAATTGTCCCAATGAGAGGCTCTGGACTTTCTCTGGACCTCCTCCTAGTAAAAACTAATGTCTGAATGAGCCCATCTGAGAAAACAGATGGAGATTCTCTGAAGGATTCACCAGGTGTGGGCATGCTGTTGACGTATCCGACATGCAACGGAAGACACGGACAAAGATTGACTGGTGTTAAGGTCCGACGCCGGTGTTAGTGTACTGTGCCACAGATCTGCTGCGTGTCGTGGCTGTCTGTTGTTCACACATCAGGCATCACTTCTGCTGCATGTCTGAATGTGCTGTTTCTGTGGCAGTATGGCTACTTTATATGAAATACATACAAAATACAAAACAAGACCTTTTGGTTATGTAATAAATTAATAGTTAATGGATTCCAGTAATTGACTCAAACTATAGGAGCCATTTTGAAAACCTGTGGCACCTTTTACAGTAAGTGCATAAAAGATCTGCTTCCACTGAAAGACTCACAACTTTTTTGACTGTAAACTGTTCCTGCCAATCTCTCAAACCTCGACACGTCTTCCCCCTCCCCCTCTCTAATGTCTCTCACCGAGCGTATAATGAGCTGCTGGACGCTGACCAAACACTAATGAATATAAAGACCTCCAGATAGAGATAATCAAATTTAAAATCAAAGTTATAAAGATCATTGATTGTTTTGTGAGAAAGTTATTGTGCTTTTAAGGAAAACATTCCGATCATATTTGAGGCGTTGAATGTCGTCATTACATTTGAAATAACAAAGTCATAGCAAAAGCCTCATGCAAAGCTGATTTGAATGAATGTAAAGTGTGAATGAAATGAATTTGTGTGTGTTTGTGTGTCCTACGCACTCGACTGTGTCCTCCCAGCTACACCAGTGTCTCTCATCCAGCTCTTGCATGTCCAACCTGAACTTGGCCAGGCAGAACTCCTCGATGGCATATTCGTAGTGGGGTCCGCATCCCTGCGCCGACACACACTGAGACGCTGCTGAGAGGGGTAGAGGGGAGATGAGAGTGAAAAGATGGAGGGAGACAGAGCAAAGCAAGGTGGAAAGTCAGAGTAGCTCTTATACGTTTTTCTTATAATTAAGGAAAATCTGCCAAAACTGTGTGTGTGTGAGAAAGACCCCCAAGACACGCAAACAGTAGAAAGTCACTGCATCATAAACCTCTTGTTAGATATGACATTTGGGGAAAAATTAAGAGTAAATAATAATAATAAATAAAAGTTATCTTGACCTTGTTGACACATGTTCAAGCATATTGAAAGCTCACTACTGAGGGTTTTTTCCTTTGGACACAATCAGGCCATATTTGTCTCTGTTTTTATGCAAACTGTCTCCTGGGTGAAGCCATAATTAGCCTTCAATAACACTAAATAGTTATAGAAACTAACTAAAGTAAAAGAAACCATCTTTCAAAAAAATGTATTGAATGCATACTTTTGACTCTTGAGTGTGGGCCATATCCCAGCCAATACAATGGGGGAGCCATCGTGTCATCCTTTTTTATACATTGTCAATGGTATTGACCTTTTCAACAAACATCTGACAAAAAAAAAAAAGATGGTTAATAAATATATATAAAAAGTGAAAAGGGGTCTCTTCATAAATGATTTCTATCAGTCAGTCAATCAAAAACAAAACTACTAAGGTTGTTTACTTTCTCTAGATTATTGCTAGTTTTTGCATTAGAGTGCAGTTCCTTCAATGCAAATATTGTGCTAAAGGACCACTTCCCTCACATATGTCTGAAGCAGTGAGGAATGCTGACCTTCTACATAATAAAAAACAGCTATCACAGTGTTATGAGGATCCTAAAATGCTTTGTACATATAGACTCTGGAAACATGAAACACCGTGTGCAATTAGTTGGAAATTTCATTCAGGAGCAGTGTTTTATGGCTGAAAATGATTCTCTGCATTGCTTTATAACTTAGTAGTCCTCTCTCGTGCACAGAAAAGCTGTAAAACATAAAGAAGGGAAAAACACAATAGTGGCTGTGTGGTATAGGCACTTGAGCACTGGGACATAACAAAGCTGAGAAACATAGACACAAGTTCTGATCATCACAATGTGTTCTTGCTAAAAGTGAATTCACAGGAATGGATTCTCAGGACATAGATGTCACTGTAATAAACTGTCACTACTAGTGTCACATCTAAACCCTCCCTCAATATCCCTGTTGTAGTTTTTCTTCTCATGCCTCCTCATCCTGTTTCTCGGCAGCCTCCAATTATTTCCAACACCTCCTCTCATTTTCCTCTTTTATTCCCATAAGACTCATCTCCTTTTTCTTTTCTTTTTTTTACAGTATAACCTGCTGTTTCTCATTTTCTTGTCTCTCTATACATCTCTATTCATCCATCCTTCCCAAATCTCCCCCACTCTTTGCCCCCTGAGAGTTATGCTTAGAAGTGGACACACTGGCAGTATCATATGAGAAAAATGGCAAATGCACATGCTTATTTTATACGTGTATATAATAGTGCGTCGTGAAGGGGGAATAGAAACAGATATGTATGGAAAGATTCAGTCGGCATGATTTTGTAGATGGGGGGATAGAAAAACAAGAAGATGAAAACTATGCAGAAATATCTTGTTTACATTCCTACAAAGAATCTGTCTCCTGCTGTGAGGAGAGCGGGTGAAAAGGTTTATCTGCATGTCTGTATGCCTCCAATCAAAGAGTGGGATCAAACATTAACATCAAATGCATGTATTTATGAGAGGAGACACGTACGTAGAGACAGAAAGGAAATGTAAAAATGGGGAGAAAGGATGTCAGAACTTCAACTTTTATCTGCAGACCACATTTTTTTCATGTCTGCAATCTGTTTTGTAACAAAGTGTTCTACTACTACACAACACAACAAAGAAATCATCAGTTTCAAAGAGTCACCATTTTGTGCGTTTTCTGATTGTCTAGCATGCCCTCTTTGTCAGTAAACAAGGTTTATATGAGCTGCCCTCTGGTAATGTTTGGTTCAAGCAGTCACTTAAATGTTACTTCACACAGGAAGAGTCATGAAACACGTAGCCACAAAACCTTGTGGAAACATAAACTAACCTAAGGATACAATGGATATTTTCCATTTCATGTTCTTAAACAGATGATTCTGTCGAAAACATTAAAGGGTATTTCTAACAACTGTTATTTTAAATAATTTTTAAAAGTACCTGAGAATGGGACCAATCTCCTTTTTTTAACCAGCATTTAACAAAATCCACATGTACTTATTTTGGAGTAAAAGAGGTATAAGGTACTATTAGAGCTAGAAAACTAAAGCACTTAGTTGAGCTTCATTAGTAAAACTCATATTAAAGTCAACATTAATTGAAAATCCTGTGGTTTCCTGAACACCAGCATGTTGTGCATTTAAGATTTGAATCAATATCAACATATTCCCTCCAGATACTGGGCTACATAATCAACAAATAACTACTGCTGTCGTTTGTCTAAGACAGTTACATTTATAAATATTTTAATAGTATTCTTATCCTCTATCCTAATCTCAACATACTCATTCAAAGAGGCAGATAGAAACAACATATTTTGTATCTATATTATATCTGTAATTTTATATTTTCACTGGTTGAAAAAAATGGTTGTATTTTGGTAGCTTGCCCTCTTGAGAACAAGCAACAGCGAATGTGATGCTGTGTGTGGTTTCGATCCGTCTCAGTTTCTAAATTCAGTTCAACACTGCTGCTCTGATTTTAAGCAGCAGGGCCGTTTCATCAACCTCATGCACACATGATCTGTTTGCTTTAGCTGCAGGTTGTTTTCACAAGGGAGAGAGGAAAACTTTCAGCAATAGTTTTACTTCCTGGATATAAGTTTATATAATAATAATAATAATTGTATGCCAGTGGTTCAAACCTTTGCACGTCAAGGACCCCTAAACTGACTCAAATTAGACCATGTACCCCCATTTGACGAGAGTGTTGCTTTTAAATGTTTGATGAGGAAGTGTATGAAATAGTCATACATTCTGTGGGTCTTGTCTTTATGGATACAATTATAGTGAAATTAATGTTTTCCCATTTTGCCAGGGACTCCCCTGGAACCCTCTCAGGGAACCTTAGTGGTCCCAAGACCCCACTTTGAGAACCCTTGTTGTATGCAGCCCATAATGACACATATTTCATTTAATACCTGTGTTTTATCTGATATATTAGAGCCGTACTCACTAAATTACAATTCTAACCCCTACACCGCTGACCAATCAGTGATTACTAATAATACAACCACTTGGAAACCGATGGAATGGGATATCTTATCTTAAGCAATCCACACTAATGCATTAAGGATACAAAACTGTCTATTGATTAAATAATAGATGCTTAAATTAGGTCTGACACCACTTCATCTACACAAGATGTAAAACAATTACTCAAACAAAATAACCTTGTAATGCTTAAATGTGCAGAACAACTGCCGTTACAAACAATCAGTGAATATGAAAGTGTTCAGAGTAGCAAGTTTCTAATTGAGAGAGCAAATGCTAAAAAAAACAGTAAGAAGTAACCCGTATCCCTGATGGCTGCAGAGGCCTCAGGCTGCATATTCACCTAATAAATCCATTTCTTGTCAGAGGGCTAATTGAACTGCACTACTGATGGCTCGATTGCTTGCATGTTGATTTGTCCTGAAGGATGTAAGGAATTACATAATGATGACAACACTCCTCGCATTACAGTCAATGGATCAATGCTGCAGCAGAAATAAAGACAAGTGTGTGATGGGGTTTTTCTTTTACATTATTTACATGATTACATATTTGTTAAATGTACATATTACACACATTTATAGATCAACAATCTGTGGGATCAATGGACAGAAAGCGCAGCTATTTTTAACTCAGTATTTTTCACACTACCAGTTTTTTAAATTTTTTCCACTTATCACAGTTGAATAAATTGGCACTGACACTGCTGCCTGTGCAGGATCCAGGACGACAGCAGCATCACAGTCAACAGCGTTTGCAAAACTGCTCTTTGAGAGAGATGAGTTTGATTTCAGAGGTAAATTGAATTTGCAACATTGTTGTGTTTGGACAGTTTGTGGTTGAGATTTTGCCGCAAGGTCTGAGGGATGATATCAAGCAAAGAAATAATATCATAAATATCTGCTTATATCCAATAGGCCTTAAAATGAATATTCTACTTTGTATTTATTTTCCTATGTGAAATATCTATGTATCTATAGCTGTGTATATATATCATCTCACAGTGAGGCAGCGCTCAGTGAATCTGGAGAAAAGGTCATTATTGACTGAAGATTTTCTCACTTCCTTCTACAACAGTTTTATCGATTTGGAGTGGAAACTGAAATTATTGCAGTGAGTTCACCTTTTCAGGGTGATAGCGAGTGAGGGTTGACATTTATGTCAGGGCACTGAGGTCTGGACTGCAAGGTTGGCGCAGGGATTAGAGGAAGCCAATACCTGGCACTACTTACTTTCATTTCACTAAACACATTCCTCAGACTTGGTTTTTAAACTTCTGACTTTTAGAGCCCTCTGTTCATCGAGGGGATATTTTTCTGAATTCCTACAAGGCTTAATAAACTTGATCGAATTAATCTGATTTGATTCATGCATTAAAGGTTCAGTGTGTAGAATTTAGTGACATCTAGTGGTAAAGATGCATGTTGCAGCTAAATACCTTTCACCTCACCTTCCCCTTCCAAACATTTTACGACACAATTTAGATGAAACACACTAGTAAAAACATCACTAAGATTATTTTACACTTCATTTCTGCCAAATGTCCCTTTCACCTAAATCTTACACACTGCACCTTTAAGACAATTGTTGTGATAATACATAAAAGCCTGAATGCATACTTGCAGTCCATGCTGACATGTTCTTGGAAGTAGGTAGTGGGTGACCTTCAACCTTGCGCATGCTGCCTTACTCGATCCTCTCTGTGGGGCCTCTACCAGAATGCACTGCTCCCTGTGTGCAAGCCCAGCAGCTAGCTTCAGGGGGCTGCGTTAACAGTGTGTGCATTTGCATGCTGCGTGCAATTACATGTGTGAGAGATGGAATTGGACTATCGTTCTATTCACAGGATTTTTTGCTTTTTAATCATCATCATTAAGAAACTTAGTGGGGGAGCTAAAATAAGAGCCTTGCAGCAGGACAAAGGGAGATGCTTGTTAGGATCTCATTACTGAGAGACTTTCTCTGATATCATGTACTTGGTCTTTAATGTGTTTAAGTGGGTCTTAATTATGCCAATGTTCCTTTAACACTATTTCCATTGCACTGCCCTGTGGCATTTAAAGGTTTGTTGTCTGTTAGGCTACTCCCAACTTACCAGCAAATATGGGGAAGTAGACACGGATATAGTGCTATCACTGGTAAAATTGAAGATCATTGAACATTATTGTGGCAATAGATGTTGCCACTGGGGTCTCACCAGCAGCCAGAGACAAACCATTAAGTCTTAACATTTTATTCAGAGAGCAGGTGCAAACAAAAACTTAACTACAAACATAAATCATTCTTCCAGCTTTGCAGCTTGGTAATGTCTCATGTGTTGCTCATGTGCGTCTCACTCTGTGTGTCTCAGTCCGCTCTCCCTGCGTCTCCCTCTGGCAGCTCTGCTGCTGCCTTTTGTAACAGAGGATCAATCAGCTAACAGCCCTCAGCTGCACTGATGAACCTTCTGGTGCAGGTGCTCTCTGAGCCACCTCTGTGCCCACAACTATTTAACTTATTATTATATGTATTATTATGTACAGCTATTCCTTTAATAGGAAGACTTTTGAACAAATGCACAGGTGATATGGAGCAAATATTTGCTGGTTATTATTCCAATCAAATGCAGATTTAAACCCTAAATGCTTTGTTGGCTGTGGATTAGAGACTGCTCGAACAGAGACAAAGAGCTCCGAAGTGTCTGAATGGATATTTGGAGGAGAAAGGTAGCACTGACTTACTGATGATAACTACAATGTATTATATATTTAAAAAATAAACTGCAACCAAAGTGCATTCTTTCAGTGAGACAGAGCAGATTAAGGGTTTTGTATTGTACAGTGATAAGTTGTAAATAGACCTCAAATAACAAATCTACACAGTCTATTATAAGCTGTGTTGAGAGGAAGATTCTTTTTAGATGCAATATGATATACAACAGCTGCATTATCAACAATTGGTAAAACAAGTTTATTTCTTAAAGTCAATGACAAACAGTGTTTAGACTATTAAGAACAATAATAATGCAATCATTTATTATCTTCACAATATGATCCAGGCTCAACTGAACTTCTTGATATTTGACGTATTAACTTGGTTGTAATAAGCATCCCGGCTCCACTAAATCCTGCACACTGTTCCTTTAAAAGCTCAAGTTTTTACACAGGGAATTAGTTACTATCATGCAATGACAGAATAGGTTAAGAAGAGACACTATTGAAAGATTCATGCATTACGTATTGAAAGTGATTGCAGAGAGAGGGGGATGCAGCAGGCTTGCAGCAGATGATGAGATGAAATGAAGGAATAAATATGAATGAGGACTGGGAAACAGATGAGACTTCACAGCACGTTTGGACTCGGTGAAATCTCCAACTTAGTGTTTCTTTTTTTTGCATTTTTTAACACTGACTCTTGATAAATGCAAACAGTGTCTTGAGAGGGGAAACTTGCACAAGTTTTTAAGAATTCTGAACTGAATTTTTCAATAGGATGGCATAACTTTTAATTGCAGCTATCTATCTCTATATAAGAAACTAGAAGCCATCAGAGAAATTGATAGGAAACTCAGCAATAATGACCAAGTTTTCCAAAGTTCTGGGCAAAATGTGGAAAATATCGACTCAGCTTCGTATGACAGGGCCTCCAGTCTGATATAGGTGCAGTATGTCTTCTCTATGAAAACAGTTTAATTTCGAACCAGATGAGAAACGATACAAAAAAGAAACCAACAGCAATGACACAGAGGCATAAATAAAAATAGATCTGTTTTCAGTGTTTTATGTCAGAAGTTCTTTTGGTCATTAATTTACAACATGTTCGTAAGCAGAGTCCCACAAAGCAGCAGGGGTTGAGTAAGCAAGCTCCTCGAAGAAATATGCAAACTTTTGTAGACCTTGATGAAGCAGATTGGGGGCATTTTGAAAAGTTTTATTTGAAGTTTCTGCAGCAGACAATCTGGTCATCTGTGAATGAGACACGTTCACAATAAAAAACTCCAGAGTGTTCAGGTGAGGGGTGGCGAAGCATGCAGAGCCACAGGATGTAACATAACCTAACATAAGAGCTCTGCTACAGAGATACGTTTTTGTTTATAGCACATCAACACGCATCAGCCCTTATGACTAAAAGCTCGTAAATCGAGTCTTTGCAAATAGACATTGTTGTTGGTGTCTTCTAAATGTATTGCATCTCTTTTTCATCCTGAGATATTTGTATTCTGGTTTTTTTTAAGTTTTGTGTCAGTCGTGCAGAGAATCCTCCAGAGAATTTCCTGCTGTGGTCTCATATAAGCTCATTCAAACAGTTCTTACAAGGGAGTTGGCAGGAGAAATTCCAGAGAAATTCTGAAGCCTCTGACTTGATTATTTGCATTATCGTGTACAGCCTCTCTGGATAATTTTAGGGGAATATCAAGACATCGGTGCAGATCTGACAGCAGTTCAAGACTTCACAAAAGCAAGGACCTGAAATAACTTGAGAATTGTTAAGGATAGTTTCAGTTATTTTATGTGGTTCTTATCACACCAAGTGCTCATTTGGTTTTAAATAATTGTCATGATTGACAGATGAGACTGCAATGGTCCTAAATGTGCCACATGGCAGCGTTCATATCCGGGATATAATCAGTTCATTTCTGGATAGTGGGAGGAAGTATAAATATAGCCGACAGTCTTGAGCGATAAGGAGTGAGCTATGGAGGTCTAGCAATTATTTCTCTCAAAGTCCACACTTTTTAACATTGTCGTCTTCAAACCCAACTGACCCAAGTTCCTTAAGTGACATAACTTACATAACACAAAGATAGTCTGTTGGATTTTGTGCAGCTGCAACTACAAACTGCATCTACAAACACACAAAAAACATTTTCTTTTCACATATAGCACTTCTCAAGAGCTGCAGACAGAATTTGATGAGTAAAATCCAACAACATGTTTCATTTTTAAAGCAGATAGAAATACTGGGCACAGAAATTAAGGCCCAACATGCAAACAAACCCATAAACTAAACAAAAGCAGGAAATGTTTCAAGATCAGCTAATTTGCCTCATTAATAACAATTTCCCCTTGTCCCTGGTCTGCAGCAGCTTTTCTGGCAATAGATCTACTGTGAGACAGCTAACAGAGTTGGTGTCAGAGTAAGTGACAGACCGTTGACTCATGGGTGATATCGTCCCCTAAAATGAAACTTCACAGCCTACAGCTCCTTCCAGTCTGTAAGTGACAACTAGCCAACGGAGGCAGGCAGATGTTTTCTGTCAAAGGTTACGACTAATCAGGCAATCAGATCTAATGTTGGTAAATGAACATTCATCTTGCCTCTCTCTCTCATTGCTGTCATTTTCTCACAGATGAGTTACAGAGCAGGAAATCTTCATCTTTGATCTGTATTTCTGACCGCTGTAAGCCTATCACCCAACTTTACATCAAACACCCACGTCCTTGACTTTTAAACACTCCTTAGGCACAAATCCTCTCAATCTAAGAAGTAGTGAAGGAGGAAAAATATGTCTCTTCCCACCTCTCCGACAGCTCAGTTTAGGTCCTCTGAAGTTACACAGGTTTTATGAATATTTTAGAAACCCACACAACTCAACTTCCAGTACAAACTTAGTCTGTCTGACGTTCGTGCTCCAAAACGTTTGAGTCTTTCCATCGCCTTGGACAATTACAGCCTGTATACTGTAATGATACTAACAATTGTCCCAGGTTACATGTTAATTAGT